GAAAAGCACTGTATCAAATGCAAGGATTATTATTATTTATATTATTATAGATCTAACGAGGAGATACAAAATGTTTGGCGGGACAATGAGCTTCCTGAAGCTTTTTTTACCAATAGAAGAAATTGTGATGAGAGGAGGCCGAGAATGTCAACAGCAACAAATTCCATTTATATAGCACCTTTCATGTTGGCCACAGAAGGACTGGGTTTTGGAATCATCAAAGGTACTGGCTCTCAGTTAACAATTAAAATATATATTTTTGAGTTGTCCAGTCATAGTCATGGAGAAGATCAGGATTCCATGGTTTGACTGTTGCGGTGCAAGAGGAGTTATCATTACATAAGATCTAAAACGAAAATTATAAAATGCAGGTATTATTATAAAATTGATGAATGTGGCATGAAATTATCAGAAAAAGGTTGTTAAGTTTGGAATGATGAGTCAAAGTCATTTGTCTAATGTAGGAAGAAAGTGGGCACAAGAACAGACAATGGGAAACTCCCTGAGTTGATGTAAAATAGTGAGAGAATAAACCGTAAACAATAGCTAATTACATTTATATTGGGCCTTTCACTTCAGAAGGATGTCACACGGTGTTGGACAATTAAAGGTTTGCACCCGCAGAGGGGTGGAGGGTAAGGGAGGTGGGAGTGTGGCCAAAGACACAGTCTGATAATAATCCCTCAAGAAAAAAATAATTAAAAATTGGTCACTTCAATCCATGACTGTTTGTGGGACACTGCTGTGTGCAATTGGCTGCCGCGTTTCTCCCACAAATATACACTTTACAGTATATTCCGTGAAGCACTTTGAGACTCCTAGAAGACGTGAAAAGCGCTATATCAAATGCAAGGATTATTATTAGTCAAAGAGGAATGTCTTGAGATGGGCCTTGAAGGAGGCGAGGGAGGATGTGAGGCAGTGGGAAACCTCACCCAAAACTTTTACCCATTTTTTTTTAAACTAATTTCCAGCATCCCAGCATTTTCAAAAAGATTGTGACGCTGTGCTTTATCTCAAAATAGTCAGATAAAAATAATAAGCCTTGTATTTAATCTAGGGCATTTAATATTAGGGGGATATTCCGAAGTGCCTCACAGGAGTGACTGTAAAATGTGATGGCTGTGTATTTTGTAGGCAAATGCAGCTGCCTATTTGTGCACAACAATGTCCCGCAATAAGCCATGACGTAAGTAATTTTATCTGAGGGATTGTTGGCCAGGGTACCAGTAGAAAGAAATTCTCTTCTCTTTTTGAGCAGTGCAATGCATTCTTTAACAGCCACCTGAACAGGCAGAGGGGACCTCAGTTTAACATTTCATCCAAACGATAGAGCCTTCGACAATGCAGCATTCCCCCAGCACTGGATTGGATCTTAGAGTAAAAAACAACTCGAGTATCTAAGATCCAAATCTTGATTTGGGGCTTGAAACCACAATCCTCTGACTCGGAGGAGAGAGCGCTACCAAATGCGCCAGCCTGTCACAGTGAAGAAAATGAACTTACGTTATATTATAACAAATTATAACAATGACACTCTTCGTGTATGGGTTCCATTGGAAACAGAGAAGAGGAATAAGAGGGGGAACCCATGTGACAATATGATAGCATTTTATTTGACCGCCATAAGCAAAGGTAATTGCATTAGAAGCTTTCTAAAGAGTTGCCCTCTTGGCTCAATGGATAGGGTGACCTTTAGGGTGCAATGTTTGGACCTCAATTTGCCTTTAGAAGATCTTGGGGAAGGGAGGTGGGAAATCAGACAATATTCCCGTGACGATTGCTACCCAGTGACCCCTGCTGGAAAATGAGCAAGAGTGTGTGTGTCTGTGTGTGTGTTGGTTGAGGACATGTTCAGGCTCTGCTGTGATGCCCTCTGTACTGTCTAATACCTCATTGATACTCACTGTCCTGCTTCACCCGTGAAGGATGGCCACTCGTATAAGGTACCTGAGGGCAACTGGAGCCGGGGATGGTCATCGCCTTTTGAAGGTGGGGGGGGGGGGGGGGGGGGGGGGGGGGGGGTTGAATTGGCTTTAGAATCGCACAATAGCCCTTCTCAGTGTAGAGGAGTCCTCTGATCCAGGAAAGCGGATGAAGGTCAGTCCCCGTGAAAGATATCTCATGGGGGGCACCTTCTGACACCTTCCCCTCTCTACCCTCCCCCTCCCCACCCATGTAACGCTGAAGGTATCAACGGGATGGATGGATGGATGGATGGATGAATGGATGGGGGGGGGGGGGGGGATGGATGAGAGTGGGTGGATGGATGGGGGGGGTGGATGGATGGGGGGGTGGATGGGGGGGTGGATGGATGGGGGTGGATGGATGGGGGGGGGGGGTGGATGGGGGGGGGGCGGGGGGTTATACATGTCCAGCTGGAGGCGAGTGATCTGAGAGCGTAAAACGGAACGAGATGCCATCGGTCGTCGCGGCCATATCAGGCGAAACACAGCGGAATATTTTCATCTCCGTGACGCACAGGGACACATATATTGGGTGATGGGTACACACGTACGTGTGCGGGAGTCAGTCAGTGCGAGCGGTGATGTGCAGCTACAGACAGGCAGCAATCCAGGAGGGAGAGGGAGGGAGGGAGAGGGAGGGAGAGAGAGAGAGAGAGAGGGAGGGAGGGAGGGAGGGAGACAGAGAGATAAAGATATCAAGACTCACTGCTGTCGCAACTACAGTCCTACTAAACACTGCCAACTCTCACGGACTCCCTGGAGGATGGATCTTCTCATCCAAACGCTCAGCTATTTTTACCCCCAAAACATATACAGTGTCGCCCCGTTTCAACTATTGCAAAAATCTAATACTTGTCTGTACTTTACCCCCGAACCCAGAACTACCCCACACCTCCCCCCACCCCTTCCTCCTCCCTCCTCCCCCCCCCTTCCTCCTCCACCCCCCCCCCCCCAAAAAAAAAGAGGGGGCATTTGGAGACCGGTTGACGCGTCGGTGCCGGTGGTTGGCTCTCGGGTATTTCGGGCTGAGATTTTCAACCCAAAAGAAAACAGTGTCAGTCGCCGCTTTCCTTCCTCGTTTCACCGGTGACGCCGAATCACAGCGGCTTTTCTGATGATATACACCGTATATCAATACGTTAAATAAAGCGGAGTTTCCTTCCAACTTCACCGTGGAATGTTTCAGTAACTGGGAGGGGGGGGAGAGGGGTGGGGGGGGGAGAGGGGTGGGGGGGGGAGGCGGGGGGAGAGGGGTGGGGGGAGGGGGAGAGGGGTGGGGGGGGGGAGAGGGGGGGGGGGGGGAGGGGAGGGGGGGGGTGGTGGGGGGAGTTCTTTTGACTCGTACATCACATTTCGCACTGTAGTGTGTGGCTGTGTGTGTGTGTGTGTGTGTCTCTGTGGCTGTGTGTGTGTGTGTGGCTGTGTGTGTGTGTCTCTGTGGCTGTGTGTGTGTGTGTCTCTGTGGCTGTGTGTGTGTGTGTGTGTCTCTGTGGCTGTGTGTGTGTGTGTGTGTGTCTCTGGCTGTGTGTGTGGCTGTGTGTGTGTGTGGCTGTGGCTGTGTGTGTGTGTGTGTGTCTCTGTGGCTGTGTGTGTGTGTGTGTGTTTGGGAGCAAAGTCGGTTGATTTGTTACTGCGTCTTTCTGGTACAGTGGAGCGGATGCTTTTCAAATAAATAAATCAACTCGATGCAGTCGACAGCTATTAATATTTATTGGCGGTTCTTTAAAAAAAATGTTCAGTAGGACGTACAGATGTTCTCCCCCCCCCTCCTCCGCGTGTTAATGTTGCAGTTTCACCCCCCACTCCCCCTCCCCTCCCCTCCCACCCCCCGGGGATCCGTCCTCAACCCTCACATCTGCGATAAGCGAAAGCCTCTTTGAACCGAGGGACAGATTGGTCCATGAGGGGTACGGAATGTGTTGTGGTTTTGTGGGAAGGAGCCGAGGAGAGCGATTCTTACTGTGTGGGGGGGAGAGAGGGAGAGAGGGAGAGGGAGACAGTGCAGTGTGTGTGTGTGTAACTCGGGGTGTGTTTATCTGCTCTGTAGCGCAGGGTCTGTCGCTGTTAATCGCGGCTCCGGCCCCCGGGAGGGCGTTCCGCACGCGTGTGTGTAATGTGTGTAATGTGTGTGTGTAATGTGCGTGTGTTGTGTGTGTGTGTGTAATGTGAGCGCCTTGTTTTATGCTCTTACCGTTCACATGCGAATAGAACAGTCCGAGGAGAGGACGGAGAGAGGGAGAGAGAGAGAGGGACAGAGAGAGAGGGATAGAGAGAGAGAGGAGGGACACAGAGAGAGGGATAGAGAGAGAGAGAGAGAGAGAGAGAAAAACGAGAGCACAGACGCCAAGAATTCAGAAACAACCGAGTGGACACTTCGCAACGCTTTCTCTTTCCATTTGCCCCTTGAAATAGGCGAGTTCCGAGCAGACGGTGTCGGTTGGCTTCTGGATAGAGTTTGGAGAGTTTTTTTCTTCTCTCTTTTTTTTTGGTGGGGGGAAGAGAGAGAGAGAGAGAGAGAGAGAGAAAGGGGTGAAAAGGCGAGTTGTTTAGTACGGATCGTGCCGTTTCGTGCGTGTGCGTGTTTTTTTTTGGAGAAGGTTAGAAAGGAGTTGCGTTGCGAAGCGCGATCGTGTCGGCTTTGCAGGAGGGTCAGACAGCTCTGTCTGTGTCTGTCTGTCTGTCTGTCTGACTCTCTCTCTCTCGTGTGATCGAACCCCCCCCCCCCCCCCCCGTGTTTTCTCGGGTTTGTGCTCTATCTGAATCTCGCACCGTCTCCAGGATGTTGCCCGGCGGACAGGAAAGCTTCAAACCGTTCACTGGAAGGAAGTGACACGAACCCTCTCGAAGAGAAGAGAAGAGAATAGAAAGAGGAGAGAAGAGGTTTCTTCGGAGGGTGATTTTTTTTGGGGGGGGAAAAACACTCCCCCACCAACCCCCATCATCATCATCATCATCACTCACGCACCCACCCACCCACCCACCTCTAACGCAGAGAGACAGACAGACAGACAGACAGACAGACAGACAGACAGAGAGGTAAAAAAAAACAACCCAAGAAGCCGAACGCGAGAGGGAGTGAGCGAGAGACCAGAGAGCGGAGACACTGACTTCATTCACCTCTCTCCAAAGTGAGGTGCGGAGGCGCACGGAATATAACGGATCCGGGACTGTTAATAGCTCGGGAGGAGATTTACAATCATATATATAACACACACACACACACGTACACACACACACACACACACACGTACACACAAGAGCCGAAAGAAAACAGCCGATCGGAGAAGAAGTGGGAAAAAAAAGGGGTGGAAATCAAAGGTGATCAGTAAACATGAAGCGGATCTCTGCGCTCTGGACGGTGTCGCTTTGGCTTTTGAAACTTGTCTCAGGAGAGAACGGTAAGAACCGATGGAAACTTTCTCTCGTTGTACAGCACAGGGTCTCTTTACGGGGGGGGGGGGTCGGGGCTGGGGGGGGGGGGGGGACAGAGGCATTTTTTGAGCAGTTTAACCCCCACACACACACACACACACACACCCCTCTCCTGAATTGTTTATTGCGAACGCGTTTGAAATCGGGCCCCGACTTTCTCTTCCCCGTAGTTAAGCGCACAAGTCGGAGGGGTTTGCGGTGCCTCGGGATGTTGTCACACATCAAAGCTTTGCTTTAAAGACTCCCCCACTCCCCCCCCCTCCCCTCTCCCCTTCTCCCCTTTTTACTCTCTCTCTCTCTCTCTCTCCCCCTCACAAGACAACCTCGCGAATTGGGTAAAAAAATATATAACAGCGGCGGATCTGGAATTTGGCGGCTGTGAGCAACACATCTGGATTACATAACAGCGATCCCCCCCAATAGAGATGTTAACGTGTGGGGTGTGTGAGAGGGGAGGAGGGGGGGACTACCTTGAACTCTCTACGGGTTGATACACTTTTTAATGCCCCTCCACACACACAACCCCCCCCCCCCCCCCCACACACACACACCCCTACACTCCACACACACACCCCTACACACACCCACACACACCCCTACACACACCCCTACACACATTAAAGAAAAAGTAACGTCGCTTCACAACCGATTGGGAAGAAAAACATAAGAGAAAAAGGACAGGGAGTTGAGGTTGAGGTGGCAATGTGTGTGTGTGTGTGTTGTGTGTATAAAGTTTATTATTTGCAAACAGATGTGAACTTCTCCCAACTTTTCGGCGCTGTGTGTGACTTTTTTTTGGATGGGGGTGAGAGGGAGAGAGAGAGAGAGTGAGAGAGAGGATAGGAACAGAGATCGTGAGCTGTTCAGCTTTTTTCCCCCAAAAAAACACATACACACAGACACGTTAACCTGATGTTGGCGGAGCTCAGACGAAAGATCATTAATATAAAGCAGACGGTCTGACTCTCTGACACAGCGCTTCGCTTTGTTGGGCAACAAGTCCTTTTTTTTCCCCATTTCTGGGGTAAAAAAAAATACCACTACTCCGCACCGAAGAGAAACTGCGATCAGATCGATGCGGTTCGTGCACTTAAAGAGGCGACTCCCGACTATGTTATGTGGGTTTTGAACACAAACTGCAGAAGGGACACTGACAACGCCGGGATTTTGCTGCGCTGTTCGCTCGGCGTTGGCGAAAACTTTTTAGTTGTGATTTATAGGCAATCGCTCGCCTTTGAATCCGGTCCATATAAACCCCATCCCTTCCCCCGAGGACATGAATCTGGTTTGATTTGAATGCAGTTGCGGTTTTTTTTTAATATGCATATATTAATATATGTATTAATATTGATATATGTGTCTAAAAAAAATTATTACAAAAAAAGGGGAAGAATCGTAACGGGACACTCATAAACTTCTGATGTGATGTGTGATCGCCGATATCTAATCTGTCTGTCTGTCTGTCTGTCTGTCTGTCTGTCTGCCAAGAGTTCATGCGGGGGAGAGAGCCCCGGTTTGGGGGGAGAGAGCCCCGGTTTGGGGGGAGAGAGCCCCGGTTTGGGGGGAGAGAGCCCCGGTTTGGGGGGAGAGAGCCCCGGTTTGGGGGAAGAGAGCCCCGGTTTGGGGGAGAGAGCTCCAGTCTGCGGGAGAGAGAGAGAGCCCCCTCGCCTTGCGGGAGAGAGAGAGAGAGAGAGCCCCTATCCTTGCGGGAGACAGAACCCCTAGCCTTGCGGGGAGAGAGAGAGCCTCCAGCCTTGCGGGAGAGAGAGCCTCCAGCCTTGCGGGAGAGAGAGAGCCTCCAGCCTTGCGGGAGAGAGAGAGCCTCCAGCCTTGCGGGAGAGAGAGAGCCTCCAGCCTTGCGGGTGAGAGAGAGAGAGAGCCCCTATCCTTGCGGGAGAGAGAACTCAGCCTTGCGGGAGAGAGAGAGCCTCCAGCCTTGCGGGTGAGAGAGAGAGAGAGCCCGTAGCCTTGCGGGGGAGAGAGCCCCAGTTTGGGGGAGAGAGCCCCAGTTTGGGGGAGAGAGCCCCAGTTTGGGGGAGAGAGCCCCAGTTTGGGGGAGAGAGCCCCAGTTTGGGGGAGAGAGCCCCAGTTTGGGGGAGAGAGCCCCAGTCGGGTGTGACCAGCGGGGGGTGACCCTGTGGAGTGGATTATTACAGAAGGATTTGTGGCATTAAAACAAAAAAACCCTTATCTATGTCCTTCCAATTGGTTCCGAATCTTCTGCCCAAAATTGCCCCCTCTCTGATCATTTGATCCCTCCAGTTTTCTAACCATTTTTATTTCTTCCCTCCCACTCCCCCCCCCCCCCCCCCACCCCCCCAAAAAAAAATCTCCCTCCTTTGCCCCTTTGCTGTCGGCAAATCCTGGCTTAAAACCACTCGCGATCGGTGTGGCCTCTGTGAGTCTGTGACACTGACCCGAGGAGGAAAGTTATTTCAAGGAAATACATCAATAGCGGCTGTGGCTCTGGGATGCGGTGGTGTTTGTGGTTAGTTCTGTACTGGAGCGCACACACACACACACACACACAGATCACTAGTTTACTGGGAATACCCACCCAATCCCCCTCCTCCTCTCCCCACTTTTCTGCCTTCCCCCCAAAAAATAATAAATAATAATCCCTGTGATACAGCGGAAGGACGTCTCAAAAGCGCTTGGCAGGATTTATTAAAACGTGTAAATGACTTGTCATTTTGAGGGACTCAGACCGAACAGGCATGAAGTGAATTCGCCTCGCTTCCTCCCTTTCCTCCTCCGAGGCCGGCCTCAAGACCTTTCGCTTCGACCGTGCCTTCGGCTCCCCTCTCGATTCTCTACCCCCTCCTCGCTGCCTCTCTTCCCTCCCCTCACCCTGACCATTGCCCCCCAATGCTCGGGTCCCGACCCAACTGTTCAGCGCATTGGGACGTCCTCCCGACGTGAAAGGCGCTCTCTAAATGGAATCTTGTTGTTGTTGTTGTTGTTGAATGACTAACTTTTATCTGGGGGATTGCTGGTCAGAACACCCAGAGAGAAAAAAAAGTCTTAAGCAGTGCTATCTAATCCTTATTCTAATGGGCGTTTCATTTGCTGTACATAACAGAATCCATTCCTCCTCGCAGTCGATGATATAGAAATAATAACAATAATAACAATCCTTGTATTTGATATAGCACCTTATCATGTTGTTGAGATGTCTCGAAAGCGCTTCACAGACTATATTGTAAAGTGGATTCACTGTATATTTTGTGGGCACCCAAGTGCGTACAGCAGTGTCCCACAAACAGCCATGGATTGAGTGTCCCAATTTTTTTNGAGGGATTATTATCCCCGGAAAGTGATCGATCAATCGACTAACAACCGGGTGCCTCCTCACTGCTAGGTAAACAAAGGCGTGTGGAGTAAGGAAACGTGCCTAAGATTTCTCCCCACCCGGGAATCTAACCCGGGTCCTCTTTCTTGTGAGGCAAGCACGCTAACCACTACGCTATGGGACTTCAGATTGTTTGAATGTGTCTCAGATTTCAGATTTTGTGAAGTACGGACACATTTCCTATTCAGAAATCTGTTAAGAAATATTTCCCAACCTTATTTGCACTTTCACTGTATAAATCCTGTTGCCGTTCCTTGTACTGTAGCTGTCTGCCTCTGGGGGTTTGTGCAATTTGAGATTCAGCATGAAGAAGCTCACGTCTGGAAGATTCAGTTTTAAAAGAGACGAGGAAGCATGCCCAGAAAGCAGAATGCTTGGGGGCTTTACTGGCACAAGCAGTCATTTATTTGTTTGTATTTACAGTGTACAGGGGTTTAAGAAGGTGGGTTTATTTGCTGCAGCTGATCACTATTTTGTCACCAGTTGGTGATTGAGCTGTGTTTCGAGGCTGATCCATTTGGCACCGCTCTGCTTAAAAGTTTTTAGTTACAGTTCTGACACTTGGCTGAGTCCTGGCTGGGCTGAAGGCTCTGACTGAGATATTTACATGGTGGAAGCCTGCAGAAGCTGGGATCCTCTCCAGTTGACTGACTGATTAAACATCAGCCTTGTTTCAACACTACAGAATTGTTTGGTGTATCTGGAAGCTGTATATAGAGATGTACAGTGTGTTCGGGGAGCTATGCACAGAGATGGACAGTATATGGGAGATGCGCACAAGATATTCAGTGTGTGGGTCAGTTGTAAACGTGTGTGAACAGAGATGAATTCAGAGTTATACAGTGTGTGTGTGTAAATGGGGGGGTGGTGTAACTGATGTAAAGGGTTATTGGAATTGTATAGAGATGTGCTGCGTGGTGGCTGAGTTCAGAGATGTCAACATCAGAAAGATGGTAGACATGGGTTTACGATCAAAAGAATGACTTGCATTACATACCCATTGAAACAAAAGGAACTGTTTTAGTTTTGAGAGGAAGATATGTTAATGCCCTGGTTATATTGCAGGGCTGAGGCTGTCAAAACACATGCTTCAGTGTCACGTAGCCAGCTTTGCCCCAGTGTGTGAATGAGAAAGCCAACAGTACAAATGCAAAGGTGCTGTGACTGTTTGTTCAGTTGTGTGCAGTATTGCTCCATGTGTTTTGTCCATGGAGCGTACACAGAGATACTGTGCACATTTGGAGTCAATACAGAAAAGTCAATCATGGAGTTGTTGTGTATCTGTATATATAATGTATATGTATACCTGTAATATATATATATATTAAACACAACAACACCATATGCCGGTAAGTCTGCTTAAAATCAGATACCCAAGGCAGGTGTTGATATCGCCCACATGACTGGAGGACATGGGCAGAAACTGAGACAGAACTATTACCATCATGCAGGACTGTTGACTATGATCGATTTTTATTTTCCAAAAGTAGGGAAAAAAGTAGGAATACCAGAACCAGGCTGGGGGGTGTTGTGAGAAACTCTTTATATATTAATAAACCCAGACATTGGGCGTTAATAGGTGAATAAAGACAACACCTCAGATAATACTAGTCT